GACAGACCGGACAGGATGGATTGAGTCGTGCCTCCTCGTCCCAGGATCCCCGTCTCCCGCAGCATCCGCGCGTGCGCAAGACTGGCGAGGAGGTCGTGCCGGACCAGCCGGCGGTCGAAGTGCAGCGGAGCCGGTGAAATCGGAATCACGGATGGAGAGGGCCATCGAAGCGCCCGCTCCAGAGAACGTCGCCGGGCGTCCCCGTGTCGGGTCCGTCTAAGTCGGACGCCACGGCCGGTTACCTCTATGGGTTTACCTTAATTTCGAACGAGATGCCAGAGGCGGGCCGGCTCGCTTCGGCGGGGTCGCCGGGGCGTGAGCCCCCAATCATTACTCGCGAGGCGATTTTTGTCGCCGGCGGATTGCCGGCGTCGACGGAAACCTGGGCCCGGACTCGCGCGGCCAGGCTCGAGGGCTAGTCCCCATAGCCGGACGAACCCGCCCGCGTCCGCCTGGTCGTAGACCGAGTCCTCCTCGAACGTGGCGAGATCTTCCCGGTACAGCGAGAACGGAGATCTTTTCCTTTTGTTTGTCGCGCGTGTATCGATTGCGCTGCCCCTGAAGAGCCGCCATGGTACGTCGCCGGTCGACGTCTCGTGCGTCTGAGCGAGGAACGCGTCGAAGGCGCCGCGTAGCGGCGAGAATTCCATCAGGCCCCTGTGTAGACAAGCTACGCGATCACCGTACGCGTCGCACCACGCTTCGCTTGAGAAGCCCGCGCTTTCATGTCGCGGGAATCGAGCGTGATCGATTCCAGGTCCGCGAGCGCCGCCAGCAGGACCGTCCCGGCCAGCGTTCGGTTCTCGTTCACACCCGCGACGCGGCACGGCTCTTCATCCCACACGAGCCGGTTCACACGAGGTCATCAGAACGCAGCCCCACGCCGTGGGCTCCGGCCCGCTCGTTGAGGCGACCCACCAGGTCCACCGGATCGAACCGTACGCCGTCCACCCCGACGGGAACGCGTCCGAACTGGTGACTGTGATGACCGACGTCTGTCCAGCGTATCCGGCGCCTCGGTCGGGGCCACCGTCAGCTCGCGCAGGTCGTCCGGCGCCGCCAGCTGCCGGAGTACCTCGGGATGCCAGACCGTCGTCGAAGAGACGTGTGGCACACAGATGCGGTCGATGCTGTACAGCTTCCTCGGACTGCCCGGCACGGGGATGTTGCGCTCCGCGGCTGGAGGCGAGCGGCGACAGGCGTCCTCGTGCCTGGACGTGATCTCCCACTCGCGCCACGGGCAATGACGGTCAGATCGGGGCCATGCGCCACTGGAGTAGGCGAGTTCGAACCAGGGACTGGTCTGTTGCCCTCCCGGTGCAACGTGCGCCACGCAGTCAACAGTCGAACCCCGCGCGACAAGCACAATGCGACCTCCGCGCCTCAACGGACGAGCAAAGCATACGACGTGCGGGTACCGAGCAGGTAGCTGCGCACTCGTACACGGCCCCCGCCTTGAGCGCCGGCAAGGCGCACTCGCAGGACCGCGCGCGGAGCGACGGAGATCACACCCACGCGGCACGCGATCGCGCGCGTCGATGACGCGCTTCGTGTCGCGCATCGCCGCGAAGTCCTACCTTCTGGCCCACATCACACGAGTTGCCGTGCACGACGATCCTAAGCAGCACGTAGTTCTCCCACTCAGCCACGTCAGGTCATCACCTGAGTGTCGCAGGCTCGTACTATTACGAGCGCCAGTGCGACCCGCTTCGCGTCTGCCTTCTTCATTCTCGCTACGCTCCCGATCTGTAGTTACGACACTTTCGTCCACCGAAAGGCGAACGGATGAATTACATACAGATCCTCTGTGTCACAAAATAATCATGCAGGTCTACCGGAAAGATCAGCTCCGATAAGCGGTCAGGCAGGTCAATTCAACGGCTCAGCGCGGGACAGCCTCTCTCAATAGCGATGGTGCTGCGCGTGGGAGGGGATACGTAAAGGAAAGTGCCCCTCGGAGTGTCCCGTGTGCCGAACGGCTCGAGGCAGGGTGAAAGTATCAATGCAAAGCTGGTCAGCTTCCGCTAACACGCATGGAGACTGGGCCCAAAGGCGCAGAAAGGAAAAGCGCCGTGTTAGGTTCAAGAGTCACAGAAGGTGGAGTAGACGCGCGCTTGCGTCCTGGAGCTCGACAAGAGCCTCCTCCTTGGTATCGGCATGCGTCTCGCAACCGGGAAGCTCTTCTACCCAGGCCGACCAGATCGTTTCGCCATCACAGTCCTTCTCGCAAGCGGCGTACCGGTCGTGCAGGGCGACGCCATGTAATGCTCCAAACTCTTCATTGTGCCCGTCCTTCTCTTGCTCACTGGTACGGACTGAGACGTTGTACTCCACTCACATGGCAGAATAAGCGCGTGCACGAACGGATACGTGGAGAGAGATCACGACTATGCGCAGGAGGAATCGGTCGCAGAGAGACGTGGAGGAAACAAAGGAGGTTGTTGAAACACGGTGTGCTTCGCGACTTCCCGCATGCTTTTTCTCGCACCCGTAAGCATCGTAGAGCCGCTCCAGGGTCCCCAGCACAGCGGTCCACACAACGCGTTCGCTGATTCTCCATCCGTTGGAGGAGCTTCTCTGTTCTTCCCGCACTAGGTGGACAGCTATCCACAACCTGTAGCTCCACACCAGTCTCTCTGAATGAGGTCGCACATCGATAAAAACCGCGAATAAAGTGAGTAGCCGCTCATACTTCTCGTATCGCTCATGCACCTTGCAGTGTTGATGAGCTCTGATCGCCGTAGCAGCGCATGGGGTGGTCGGGAGGGGATGTGGCGGGGCGGATGAGGCGTGACCTTTCCGTTGATCGTCAGAAGGCCGTTGCCGTCTGCGTCCATACACCTTATCTGGATCGGATGTTCTCGCCCCGTCTCGGATGACTCGGCAGTCAACGCCATGAAGAAAGGGATAGCGGAGCAATGAGGGGACGGCGGGGGAGACGGCAGCGTACAAACACTAATTTGACAGGAGTGGGTAACGATGGTAGTAATTCACCATGTTCAGTGGAGATACTATGACCATGTAGTGGAGATATTATACCATGTAGTGAGTGCTATAATATGCATACGTACCCCTCTGTGTGACCAGTCCCAGTCCTTTGTAGTTCTTGAATCCAAACATCTATAGAAATACGTGGTCCAGAACAGTGAGAATACGCTACATAACGTGCTCTATTAATGCCGGTAAATCTTCACATCAATTGAACAATACACAATTTTACCTGTGCACAGAGAGTTTCAGCAGCGGTGGCCAGTCCAATACCTACAGACACTCCAGTTACGTTCATAAACTAAGAGAGAAAAAGGAAAACGAAAGACAGAGAAAAAGAGAATGGAAGTGAAGCTTCATTGAAAGGCACACTCACTGATAGAGCCAGAGCTATTAAGAATGAGAGGAAAAAACACAGAGTCAACCCCACACTTGTAGACATGGAGTGACTGCCAACCTGCCGCATCCAGTTCCAAACTCCGCCCACTGCTGTTACCAACAAACACCAGGGCCACCGTAAACATGACTTGGTAGAAAAAATTGTTTGCCACCTGTAAGAAAAGCATCCCTGTAGTTAAAATTTCACGAAAAAGCCAGACTTCAAGGAAGAGCGAGGAAGACATTGTGCATGAGCATATCTATTAGAGTGGTGGCAAAACAATCCATTAGCACCCACTTATCTCTCCCCAGGTAGCTGATAACTAGGGGAGGGGCACAGCTCTGCCCTTCTCTCCTCGTGTTAGGGCGAGACTCTATTATCTCCATGGTACATACTTACCATAGGCGCAGCTATCTTGAAGATTGCGAGCGTCTCTCGCAGCACCCAGCCGTTTCTGAGCCAGACTCGCCACTCGCGAGTCTTAGCGAGGGCCGACTGTTCTCGTGGGCACTCCCCAGGGCCATCCTCCACCTCTACCAACCCGTCGGTGTCTTCTCTCGTATCCATACGTCTTCCGACCTGCACCACAAAAGGCAAACACGCCTGCCTCGAACCTCGGCCTCACGACACATGATCTGACACCGCATGAAGTAGTGCGCATGCGCATACGCGTCAGCGTGCAAGAAGCTGCAGCTGCATTCCCGCTGTCGCGCTCTCTGTCTCTCTTTGTTTCCAACTGTGTTGTTAGAATTTCTTTCGCCACCAAGAATAGCTATCATGCTCGGGATATCGTCGATATCGTTTGCAAAATTGAATCGACTCGTCCGCGAGAAGGCGAACCAGTTCCTGCACTTCGCGTACGACAGAAAAACCGGAGAAGTCTTTGGAAAAACCTGCAAAAGCTGGGGTATGTTCATAGCTAGCTACCAGCTGGCAACTCACAGGGCTCGGCACGATCTTTTTCTCTCCACACAGGTCTCACCTTCAGCTATCTGTTCGCATTCTACACGGTCATTGGCGCGCTGTTTGCCGTCCATATGGCCGTGTTTTACGCTCTCACGCCAGAACCGGGGCAAGATGTTCGTCCAGTCAACTTCGGTCGCTATGCCTACCCAAACTATCCCAATGCCAGAATAGGTTCATCACTAGATACAGCAAAAAAAAGACCTTCCACTCTACAAAGACACTTTGGTTTTTATCATTACCTCAGATTAGGGGTTGCCTCTGAATATAATACACACACCCAAGGTGTCCCTTATTCAGAGGTTTCACTGTTTTTCATCTCTAAACTTACCCAATGTGCAGGTCTCATATCAGTACCGGGCTCATTCAGTTACAATGGAAGCCAAGCCAGGCTGTCCTCGTCGAAACGGCAAAATCTTGAAGATCTCATTGACTCCGCAAACTCATGTTAGACCAATTTCTATAGATCCCGTCACTTTTCAATGTAGCTGGTGTGCAATGCATCCTAATGTATTACAGCTGGTGTTCCAGATTTCTGTTTGGACCAGGCAACCAACTTTGGCTACGACAGCGGAACTCCTTGCATTTTCTTTAGAGTTCAGAAGGCACGTGACAGTCACATGACAATTTTTAAGCAAAAGACATCATTTCTCTCCAATTTCCCGCCAAAAAGGTGTTACAGTGGGCCCCCGAAGAAATCAACGAAGATCTGAGCAACAGCTCTACTCTGCTACTCTCCTGTTCAGCAAACAACATATCGGGACTGGTCGGTCACACTATAATAATATGTCCCTATAATATAGTCAACCATGTATAGAGCTGTGTGTATTGTATATATGTATGTAGGATGTGCAGATGATGCAGCAGCCAGCCGGGCTTCCTCTGGACATCCCCAACCACGTCTCTCCCTCAAGGAACCGCAGCTACCCCTTCAGGGGCCGAGACAGCAGATACATGTGAGTATAGTACAGTGCCACGTTTTCTCTGGCAGAAATATCACAGATTTTGAAAGGTCTGTGGAAGCTAAGCTGGTTTTTGTCTTCTGCATGTAGCTATTTAATGAATTTTTGGTATTAAACTGCTAATTTTAGAACTCCAGTGATGGCTCTGGTGGTAAATCTGACCACCATCCCCGAGTCCACATTAAATCGTGACTTCTCCATTGAGATCACGTGTGGCATCAACCTCACTGCTGTGGGGCTGGCCAATCCACCTGCAGAACTCTCTCGCCTCTACGAACTGCCCAGGAGCAGCTCGGTCACCATATCCGTCAAGCTTTAACCCTTTTGTGACTATATACCATTAACCCTAAAGAGCCTCTGTACACATTCACACACACACGTGTATAACCTATCTACTAATTAATAGTTGATGTAAAAAGAGTTCTCATTTTCGTGATGGTTCTCTCTGCAAGATGATAAAGGCTCTTGCCTTTTCCCTCACAGTGGTCGACAGGTCCCTGAAGGGGGTCTGACTTTCGCTGGGGGTCCGGGGAATTTTAAGACCCCTTCGAACTCGGGGGAAATTAAACAGAATGTTCTGCACCAATCCAAACGTGCTGGATGTAGTCCAGTAAAGAGTCATAACCTGGAACATGAACAGAGTTGTTCTATTTTAAAGGTTTTTAGTGCATAACTTACTGCAGGCATTTGGGTGGCTACAAAAAGCATAGCAACTGACAATACTCTCAGGGAGTTTGTGAAGATTCGTCGCGATCTGCTCGGAGTCTGTCGCCTGAGAGAGTGTAGCTAGAAAAGAGTATAATACAACAAAGGGAACTTCTTATAATAGACACTCAGAATAAACACACCTCTCTATAAAAGACACTTGTTTCAACCCAATGCTATTATTTAACCTTAGAATAAGGGCACCTCTGTATAATGTTTGGCCCTAGGGTGTCATTTAGTTGGTAGGTATATACCTACCTCAATGTTACAGAGGTTTGAAGCCACCAAGACGATTGGAAGAACGTAGTAGGGATCAGGTACAGTCAGATCCTGAAACCAAAGGCAGCCCTCAGTAGCCAGAGCTGTTTCAACTGTTTCAAGAGATGGGTGACCAGGAAACACACCCGCCATGTTTCTCAGAGCGAAAGAGAGGGTGATCCAGAGTGGCAGCTGGACCCACGGCAGTAGAGCCACACGATAGGGACTGCAACCTTCCTGAGCATAGAGATCCCGTGCCACTTCCTTAGCCTTGAAAAAAACACGACTTCACGAAAAGTTTTAGGGATGGAAAATTTTACCGCTTTCTTTAGCCTTCGGTTGGCTTCCTCGACGGGGAGATTTGCACGGCGACATTTCACGATTATGTTGTGCTTGACGGCCTCTTGGTATTCCTTTAGAGTTGGTAGCAACAGCTCCATCTTTGCAATGGTTCTGTTCTGGTGGACAGCTAGCGGCAGAGTTAGAACAAGTCGGAGAATGATGGTGGATGAAATGACTACGCCCCACCAGGGTAGGTGGGAGAAAGTGTGGACTGCCTTGAAAGAAGTCTCTGTGGCGTGAATGATGGGGTAAAATACACTGTCAGTGGAGAGGGAGCGAGAGGAGAAAGATAGTGGCAGTTTTTTGTTGCTGCCTGCATAATTTTGGTGGAAGCTCCAGTTCATCAATGGCGAAACGGAGAGCGATGATAATGAACGATCTCCAACCATTGCAAGAAGCCTCAACTTAGCTCCCGAAAGCCTCCAGAGCGTCGTATTTCTGCAGCAGAAGTGTGCCATCTTCTTGTTTTCGAGATGCGCATGCGCGAAGCTACGTGGGCGTGGCTTCGCTAATTTTCGCGGGCGCGCGAAACTTCGAAGCATCATCTTATGGCGGCGACAGATGACTGTGAAAAGAAGTGGCTGGCAAGTCGAAGGAAGCGAAATCGAGACATACGAGACTTTATCCCAGTGCACGGCAAGATTCTGAAGCCTTCACTCACATCGCTAACGGCCTACCGCGGAGAAAGAGACGGAAAGAGAAAGGAACAAGTCCCACTGGCTAAACTTCAGGAGGAGAAACTGAGGAACAATAAGGTCCCGGCCACCGCTTTCAGCACGGGTGTACGAAGAAAAGCACCGCTCAGAGAACTACACGATGACAACAGCTCTGATTCGGTCGATTTTTCATCAACCGCAACCTGGGAAGAAAACTGGCACACGAGAAAGCCGGTCGACAGAGAGAAATCCAGCCGGAAGGCGAGCGAGAGAGCGAGAGGCAAAGAGAACAGAGTTACAAATTCACCACGAAAGAAAACCGGTAGGAAGAATGCTCTATCTTTGAGTTCTAAGACGTCACCAGCTGTCAACCCTGGCTTCAGTCCATCTATACTCGGCACTGTACCGTCCACTCCTTCAAAGTCACCAGCTACTGCAACTACCCCCAGTCCCTCTCTACTCACAACAGTGCCCCATACTCCAGTTTTGAGTTCCAATAAGTCACCATCTATGGACCCTCAAACCCCGAGTCCCTCATTACTAACTACTGTTGCCTCTACTCCTCAAGTGTTGCATTCTAATAAGTCACCATCTATCGATCCTGCCCTCAGTCCATCTCTACTCAGAAGCAAACACACTGTTGCCTGTTCTCCTCCTCCATCTTCTTTCCCGCCAATTACCACGGAAACCCCGCCAATTACTATAGGAAAAACATCCCCCGGTGAACTATTTTCCCCGTCCGACGATGAAAAATCTTCCAAAAACGAAGAATTTGACTGTTCACTGTTGTCTCTTTCGCCGGAGACGAGAAGTCTCATAGCAGAATTGGAGGAATGTGAAAGATTGTGTGACAGATTACTGGCCTTGACTTAGCCTCTCACTTCCACCCTATATTGCTATATATATGCCCTATGCTGCTGATGTCAAAATATTTTATGGCACTGTGTGTGTATAAAAATAAAAATTTGAGAAGCTGAAAAGATAGTAGCTAATCGTGAGGCTAGCTGACTTTGCACTTGTTTTTATTGCCGCGATGTTTTTGTCTGCGTTTCTTTGATTTGATCGCCGCTTGTAGATCGCTCTCTGACTTACTCCCCAATGTCTTCTCTATTTTAATACGGCCCTCCTCCTCCTCCTCCTCCTCCTCCTCAGCCTCTTCTTCTTCTTCGTCATCCTGACTCGTTGATGAAGAGACAGAGATGCGTTCTTTTGTGAAGGTCACAGATTTTCCCTCGGGCTCGACTTTTATGAACACTCCCACAGAGCTGTTTGAGAGTTTTCTCGAGTTTTCGCTGGCAGTGTCGACCGTCAGTTGTGCATGCGGCGGTAGATCTATACCCATCTCGCGATAGTTCCCCTCTTCCTGTTCGAGAAAACTCGAGAGGCCCTGTGAGAGGGAGAAGGAGCCTCTGGAACCAAGGGAGAGCTTTGCGAGCCTCTCTCTCGTTATGGACGGGTGGGTCGGCCTCGGCGAGATTGATCTCTTTGGAGGTGTGGTCACTGAGGTCTTTCTGGGTCTCCGAATGCCTGGCAATCGCAGCAGTGAACTGCTGGTACTGTTGAGACTGGCCAGAGACGTATCGAGGGAGTGAATCGGCGACGGAGGATCGTGAATGACGCGTATGTTTCTGTACCGGACGAAAGACGGGAGGCGTTTCTGCCGCACGAAGGCATTCGACTCCACCTGCGCTTCCTCCCAGTCTGAGTCGGAGTCTTCCGTCTTGTTGTCCAGCCCCACGCGGATGGTCATGGCTTCGTTCAGCTCGTGTTCCTCGCCGGGCTCCACAAAGTACGTCTGTTGGAGCTCTGGGATGCCCTTGATGCGTATTTTGCCTCGATTCCAAAACACGTACGGATGTCCACACAATCTCCTGTGTGGAGGAAAGAGAGAGAGAGAGAGAGAGAGAGAGAGAGAGGTGTGAAATTTTTAGCTGACGCGCAATGTACATAGAAATCATTACTTGACATTAGAAAGAGGAAAGGATAGAAAAACTCATATGGAGAGGAGGAGGAGTGGCACTCACTAATGCAGTTCTGTTCACCAAGATGAGTTATGTGTAGGAGTTTGATACATTATACCGACTTCCAGACTACATTAAGACTGATAAACCAGAGTAGAGTGCGACGACTAGAATTTCTGTCGTATCCAATTTCGTACCTGACCCGCCGGTGGTTAATAGGCAATTAGAGGACTCTTACTTGTATGTCATCTGGCTGATGTGGATGCGGCCGGCTGCTCCGTGGCTCTCCATGCGACTGGCCGTGTTGACGGTGTCACCAAACAGACAGTAGCGGGGCATCTTTGTACCCACTACTCCGGCTACCACGTGACCAGTGTGGATCCCAATTCGAATCTGAGAGAGAGAGAGAGGGGGAGAGATTGAAAGCTTGTGGGTGGGAGAGTTAATCAGATGAACATTCTTGTGAAAGTTAGGTCATTCGAGTTACTCCCGAGGATATTCTATATGGGTTGTATTGCACTCTCCAGCTACATAGTCACGGATTAGGAATCTTTGCTCGTTAAAAAAAAACCCCGTCAAATGTTGAAATTTTAGGCCACCCTATTCTCCATAGTTACCACTGCCCACTCTAGCTTTAGTAAAGGCACTAAGGTTGCATTATTGGCCTGTTGTTTCCCATGCTTGCTCACTAACAGTTGTACAAAACATAGCCACTTTTGTCTCAAGTGACTGCCTTTGTTAAAGCATACCACTCCCAAATGTCTGGTTTACCAAATGATGCCAGTACATAATTTGATTACCCCACCCTTGTCCCATAGAGTGGCTCCACACACTGCAGTGTAAGTTCCCTGAGATTCACAACTTATTTGATAGTGAGACACACAAAAATGGCCGAACTAAGCATGAGGGTGATCACGTGAATGATTACATACATACATAGCATATGAATCATGAGTTCAGAGTATTATTATACTCACATGCAGCAATCATTACCTGAATGCTTTCGTTAGAATGGGGCGTGGTCACGAGAGCTGCAGCCCGCCTCATGTCGAACGCCATGTTGGTGACGGCCTCTGCATGTTGTTGACTGGTGTCTAGCAACCCAGCTGCCACCATGTACGCATCTCCTATTGTCTCAACCTAAAGAGAGGACATATAATATAGAAGGATAAGGAACCATAGAGATATCAAGACAGTGAGAGAGAGAACTAAAGTAAAATCTGAGTTTTTTAATGAGCAGACCACATATTGATGCATTATGCTCTATATCACATGTAGTGCAATGGTGATTTCAAACGACTACTAAAACACCATTAAAATCTCTGCTTGTGTGTGAGAGAGAGAGAGGGAGGGAGAGAGAGAGAGAGAGGAGTGAATGCGAACCTTGTAGACTTTGTGTCTGTCAATTGATCCATCAAACTGGGTGTAGAGTTCATTCAGCATGCTCACCACATCCATCGGGTTACATCTGTAGAGAGATGGCCAAACGAAAGATTTGTAAGAGTGTTTCCACTATATGCAGTGTCACGGTAACGAGAGTCACTGATGTATATTATATTATATACCTGTGGCAGATGGTCGTAAAATCCTTGATGTCGCTGAACAAGATGGTCACCATTTCCACCTCCTGTGCCACCACTTGATTACACCCGCCCCCGGTCGTTAACTCCATGGCAACGGAGGGCGGCAACATGGCGTGGAGCAGCGTATCGGCTCGCTGTTTCTCCTCTTGCACTCTCCTCTTCTCTATTTCCAGCTCTCGTTTCGTCACCTCCAACTGAAACGCTACGTTCACCTCTGCCTTGAAGTGATGACTCATCAGAATCAGCTCCCTGGTGACGTCGTGTACCGGAAGATCTGTCAGGTACAGTCCCTTCAGTTGCAGGTCTTCGACCGTTTCGATCCGCGGCGAACCGATAAACAATATGGGGCAGGAATCAGAGTTTATTACGGGGACCATTTGCCCGCGAAACTGAAGAGCTTTCTTGTCGAGGTCCTCCGGAGATGGTTTTAGAACGAGGATAAACGGATTGTGTATGCTTCTGCGAATCGCTTGGTAGTTGAATGTTCCAATGGGGCGCATGAGATTAAAATGGTCGGTCAGTTTTTCCTCTTTCGCGATTGCGTTTGGAAGAAGGCGAGATATTGACGCCCCCATGTAGTGGATGGTGAGTGTTTGGTCGAAAATAATGTGGAAAGGAAAACAGATTTGGAATAGGCTTTTCGTGACGGGCCAACCGTGGTCCATCCCCATGGCCGAATCGGTTCGCGAAGCTGCGAGAGACAGTTTGGAAGTGGAGGTGGTGAGAGTGGGGAGGAGGGAGGGAGGGAGGATGAGAGAAGAGTGACTGCTACCGCGACGGAGTAAAGAGGCGACCGCTTCGTCGCTGTTGGAGAGAGGTATTATGCGACGAGGGATGGGGGAGCCGAGAGGCGATGAGGAGATGCAGGGAGAAGGCCGCCGAGGAGCCATGGGTGTAATCTCAGTGTCTCCCGCGTCGCATTCTTCTTCCCCCGCATCGTTGTCAACCTCCTCCTTCTCCTCTTCCTCCTGAACGTCCGACAGGGCCGGGCAGAGCCGCGACAGATCGGCAATTACGCCGGGGGTTAATCCCACGGGGAAAGTGTGCCCGCCAGATCTCTCTCGTAGGATTTGGCCGGTGCTCTGCGAGCGTTCCTCTTTACCCCGAGACAGTGTGAGCTGGGGAGGGATGAGAAGAGGAGAATCTGGAGACAGGTTAGGTACTGGGTCGTTGAACGAAGTTCTCGACGAAGGGAGAGAGATTATCTCCGGGACTACACTGTTTCCTCTTAATCCTGCGTGTGAGGCGAAAATGACAGCACTTTCAGTTTTAAAAAAAACATTAGGCACGCAAAAACAAACGACATACTTCCAATAGCTCCACAATCCTTCCTTCCCTCCACCATCTCAATTGCCAGCTTATAGTGGTACGGCAGTGGTGAGCTCTCCGCAACTTCCTCATCTTCAAGGTGAATCTCGACCACCAGTTTGTAGAACTCTTTGGCTATCATTCTCACCATCCCTATGACCATTGGGTAGAGCCCCCTGCGAGTGGAGTAGTAGTGAAGAAGTAGTCCGTTTTGTGTCGTCTCTGCCCTGCGATGGAAAGTTAACGAGAGACTGTTATCATGTTGAGAGGCAAGACTGGGTTTAACCCTGTGTCTACTACTATGATATTTAACTCTGTACCTACTATGGATATTTAACTCTGTAGCTACTGAATGTTAAACTATGTGCATACAATGGAAATTCTCGAGTTAGTGTTGACTATCCCACAGTATATTGGTGTATACAACACTGGTTTAACCCTGTGTCTACTACTATAATATTTAACTCTGTAGCTACTGAATATTAACATACAATGGAAATTCTTAAGTTACAAATTGGTGTTGACTATCCCACAGTATAATTATTGGTGTATACAACACACAGCCTATGTATATACCTGAAAGACAGGGGTTTCATCTTGGGATAGGCGAGAGTGAGGTGGTCGTGTAGAGTGTCGAGATTCAGGAGAAATCCCTCGAGTGTGTGGCCGAGGCACGAAACCACTTTGTAGTGGCCCGAGTGCTTGATATTGCGGAAGAACTGCTCCCCACACAGTTCAAGAATTGGCTCCTCTTCAACTCCTTAGGACGAGGAAAAGCGGAGAAAAGAAGAGAAAAATTCATGGTTGGAGAGGTGGGATGTTGAAAAAACAATGTGCCAATGGCACTAGAAGCAATGTCAGATGATTGTACTTGAACGACCGTCAATGAATAAGCCCCACCCCACACGCTACGTCAGCTCAACATGAGCTCCGTAGGACAGTTGGAATGCCGTGAATACAATTAGCGACGACACGCCTACGGTACTTGAAAAGGCCCCTGGGTGACCACCGGTGTGTATACTTCGAAACACGGACTTTCTCTGTGTGCCCATGAATATCATTAGTGATGCAAGAGGCTCCATCGGTTCATGATCACATGCGGAACGCAAATACATAACACTACATGTACACCTACAACCCTGCATATCTTGTACAAATCCCACATGTATACATCATAACTACATGCATTGAACGAGATTGATACGTGAAAATACAAGTAAACACAGGAATGTACATCATGTATACATTGATATTACAGGGAAACATGTATACATTGTTTATTCCTTGTTCCTTATCAGATGAGAATTTAGCTCAACATCCAGGCATTTATATACTTACCCCTGCCTTCCAGCTAGCTAATACCTTGATGGACGAACAAATTGCCATACCAAGGCTTGCCAATTTAGCCATTTATTGAGGGTGTGTCTTACAAGCATAATGATAATATTATGTGAATTGTAACTCGTTAATTTTAATATTACCTAGAACGTCTGCTGTTGTTGAAAGAAGAGTCGTCATTTGCTCTTCGCTGTACAGCTGCTTTGCCACGACTTCTCCCTCCATTGCCATCATCTCACTCCTTTCACTGTGCACAGGTGTGTGAGTGTGTGTGTGTGTGTGCATGCGCGAGGAGTTAGGGAGGTTAATGCGAACCTAATGTCATAAATTCCTATTTGGAGTGCACACTTTCATTATGTATGCACATTGTAGTATGCATGTAATAGAAGTATATACACTTTGTTATTGGCTGGCTAGTATCTCAAGTGTCGGGTGTATAATACGATAGGAATTGGAGGTATACTGTGTTAATACTTACCACACACACTCATACACTAACACACACACACACATCACGTACAGTCATACGTACCAAATCTCTTTCCAGTAGTGTGGTCCATATTCTCCTATGACAGTCTCCCTCAGAATGTTGAACAGCAGTCCGTACTACATTAATAGAGTAAAACATGCAACGAGCCCAAACAGACGTGTAGCTCATGTAGAAATCTTGTGGATACGACATCTGTTTCCAAGTGAACGTGCAAACAAGCAACAAAACTGTTTTTTAGCACATGTGCATCTTTGGTGTTCATTATGCCCGTGTTGTACCATTGTCTATTACCGTAATGTATGCAGTATGTACTCCATAGATGAGGTCCTCATTTTTGTGAAATGGACCTCCTATCAGATTATATAAGCGAGGAGAGTAGAACAGCTAGAATACGTATGCCAAATGTATTTTCTCTCCAACTGATGTGTGTAAGCAGTAACTCACAACTGTAAAAGAATGCTTTGGTGCTTTACCTATCTGTATTGGTTTTGTATGCAGGTAGTGGAGAGTTTAGCTTAGCAGCCGTAGACAACCAATAATAGTCAGGCTTACCATACTGTTGTTGCAGCTTTTGGTCCGTGTCTTTGGCACCTACATAATATATACACGAAGCAAATAGAGCGAAAGATAGTCCTATAGCGTGCTCATTGTTTCATAGCAAACCAGAGTTTACTACGAAATTAATGCGTAAATAGGCTTCGTACATGCTGGGACATGCTAAAATGGAACCTTTATTGTATCAACCCCCCTGCAACATTTCGGCTAATGAGAATTTCAAAGGCTTACCGAAATTGTTACGGACGTACAGTCCGCGAAGAAATCGCTAGATATCAAGGGCTCAGTCAGCGAGAGTTGGTAGGTACTTCCATATATACTGTGCGTAGCCACAGCTAGAGCTACGGCACTGTCGCCGAGCCAGCGGCGGACAGCATTCTACGACGACTGTGCAGCTTGTTACGCGTGCGCTTATAGGTACGCGATAATTGATTCGTGGGCGTGGCTCTAGAGAGGGCGCACCTACGCGAAGTTGGCACGGTCATGTCAGAAGGACAAGGTGGGTATGGTGATGTGTTAGTGGAGGCTTTCTAGATCCGGTAGAATGGCCGAGAAGAAAGCTGAAGAGAGTAGCGACTCGGAAGACTACCTGAGTGCCGACGAAGGCCTGGGAAACAGCCGAGGGAGCGAGAACCGACCCAAACTGGACAGGTTCGTTACGTACCGCCGCCTTTCTCTCTCTAGTAACGTGCCCACCGAGCGCACGGGGCGTACGGTACAACATACGAGTGTGTGACGTTACTTAGTCCTCGTTTAGTGCGTTTTATCACTAGTGTGCATCCGCTAGAACAGATCGTTGATTTTCATGTCATTCTATATAATGCCCACCTCGCTTTTTCTAGTGAACTGGAAAAGACCAACGAGAGTAGAGATTCAGGTGACTCGAGGGGACACCAAGGAAATGGCGAGGTGGAAAACAGAGGGGAAAGAGGAGAGGAGGAAGAAACAAGAGATTGTGACAGAGGGCAAACGGTTGAAGAACAAACATCGGCTGAAGTTGACGTGGAAACAAAGACTGGGGGACAGAGCAGTGATAGTGTAACTCACGAGGCAACGGTTGAATCAAGGGATTGTGAGAAGAGTGGGACAACTGGTGGAGAGAATGCTGAACTGAAGGAAGGAGTGGAGAGGAGGGAAGGAGAGGGGGAAGGAGGTGAAGGGGAGAGAAAAGAAGGAGAGGAGGAGGAGGAGACAAGAAGGGAGGAAAAGGTAATTGTAGAGGGGGAGACAACAGAGGATGTGAAAGAGAAGGAAGTGGTGGCCAAGGAGGAGGAGGAGAAGCCGCCTATCCCTCCACCCCGACGAAAGAGAAAGAAAAAACTACAGAAAAACCCTTCACTTGAAGACTTTGAGGTATATTTAGATGATAAATTAGTAACACATGTGAACGATAATAACCACATCTTTAGGAGTAAAACCCTAGACTAGTTGTATTGACTTTGATCATCTTTAATATATCTCATAGCGAGCAACTAACACTAAATTTACAGAAATCGTTGGTTGACCTGAGAACACGCTCGATGACTGTTGGTACTTGTGACATGACGAGAGAGAGGCTTGCCACATTGCCGCACGTCACCTCCCTCTCTTCCTCCCCCTCCCACCCGTCCTCCTCCTCACCCCCTTCTTCTTCTTCCACCGCAACCAGCACCACGACCACTGCAGCTGAAACACCAGACGTAAAGTCACCGTGAGCTACTCTACATCTCTATTATTAGTAACAACTGTGTAATATTTAAGCCAGTACACAAGGGCTAAATTTAGAAGATGTTACTAAAAAAAGGATGCTTAGTTGCATTTCCCCTGGGTTCTATCTTTTAGTTCCAACATTTCTACATTTTTAGCCACTACGTACTGCCACATACCCCTTCAAAGATCCTATTTCGTAGCGTGCTTGTGTAGGATAGATGCATGGTGGGCTATTGTGTCTGATTGCAGGGACCGACCTGATAGTGGGGGGGTCAGGGGAGCCGAAATTTCACCACCCTCTCCTCGAGCAGCGAAATCTCGCCCGCCGTCCCACGAGACCTACCCCAGGAGGCATCCGGGGGTTAAAAACGCCCCGTCGATCTCGATCGAGCCGGATACGAATCTGGAGCTGACGGAGGAAATGGTTCACGGTCAGAATAAAGTGATGACTCGTGACACTCCGCTGGCCAAGGCATATGGCTCAGACAGACATGAGGCCGAGGTCAGCATTACCCCAATTGACTGGACATTTCTCTCTCTGTCCATAGACCATGATACGTACGTGATGCAGCTTCAGTTCAAAAGAGTATTGCATGCCACAAGTATGGTGTATTTATCGTCCTCTGATCTGGATGGGTGCACTGAAATTTCATGCTAATTATCCCACCTCCCTTTCCTTGTCTGGCTTGATGATATTCATAGATCATATTTGACTCTGACGATGAGAGTGAGGGGGAGGGGGTCTACGGGAGCCAAGAGCTACCGGTACCGACGGACCACAGCGACTACGGACCAGATACCGAGACCGCGACAGAACCAGGTGAGGTCGGAGAGGAGAGAGAGAGAGAAGAGAGAGAGAGAGAGAGAAGAGAGAGAGAGGTGGGAGAGGGAGGAATGGAGGAAAAGAGACTGGGGGTGTGAGAAAAGCTTTCTTGTTATTGAGCATGTGTACTCAACTTGTGTATACAAACACAATGTCTAATTATATCTTGTCGGTTATGATGTACACGTGTATTGAATAACTGAGGTCTCTAGTGAGTTGAAGGTCTTTACTTTGTCGCTGATACCACCCGAAACGAAAACATTCTTGTTTTGAATGCTTGTGACGTAATGTGATGCGTGTTTTGGGTATAATATGTTTGTATGCCGCTGTGTACAGGTGAGGGTTCGGAGGTGGTGAGAGGAGGAGGTAAGGGTGTGAGGGAGGGAGGGTGTGAGGGAGAGAAACAGCGCAAGGAGAAGACACCAGTGGGGGAAGAGGAGGAAGAGGAGGAAGAGGAGGGAGAGAGGGCACGCTCTCCTTCTGATAATGTTAGTTCTCTCTGTATTTCCATCAACTTGTATTGGTGTCAGTATAGATACTCTGATATTATGTTCAGTAAAGTGCCTACTATTCACATTTCCCTCTTTTCCTCTAAACATCCATACAACATAGTACTTAGCACTTGCTGCCAACTCAATGCTTTTTTAACCATTAACTCTTTTTTCTCGTTGCAGCAAATTTTGCAGATGACGATAGTAAAGAACTTGGATACGGGCGATTCGTTCCCTCTGAGTGTCGTGGACGAGAAGATTCCACTGAGGAATCCCCTCAATCAACATCTCTACAGACGAACGGCCGCCGCCATGTACGTAACAACACGTACTGATGTCAGGGGTACTCGGATTTTATCGAGGGAAAAAACTTTAGCCAAACCGTCCATGAGGATTTCTGGAACCGTGCACAAGAATTTGCAACCTTGTTTTAGTACTAAACTTGCGAAAGTTTATTTTTGTCTTCTTTGGTAGTCGCCGGGTTAAATTATGTCACGATTACAGGGAGAGCCATGGAGACGAGGGGTCTGAGGAGGAGGGGCATCACCGCCGGCGACCACAGATACGGTGGGTCAACGTCAAACCACACCCATTGGCCACACCCACTTGTTAACTAAACCATTTTTTCGTTGTTCAGAAAGAAATTGAGGCACTTTTGGGGCAAGAAAAGAACAAGTAAGTGATGTGTATGTAATGCATATACAAGCGCAGGTGCAAAATTTTGTTAATAGGCGATGATGGTAGAAAAATGTGTACTCTGAACCCAACTGAGTGTTCTTTTCCAACATACCTGTGAAAACTGTGAAAACAAATTGCTCGGTTTTAAAATTAGTCTTTTTTACTGCTAAGTGTTGTTTCTGTTTCAGAGGGACACGGAGAGGGCGGCATGGGAGGAAGGGGGAGGGAGGGAGGAGAAGCCATGTCTAGGAGTAACGTCACCGCAGCACAGGAACACGACACAACTATCAAGGTTCTGAGATTAGCCTTTTTTTTGGCGAGTGAACACAAAATTTCAGCTGTTTTATGTACTAACTCGTTTACATACGGTAGCTATCACTTCTGAAAATAGCCAATTTGGCAATGTGTGGAATAGTAAGTAATGACCCTCTCAAAGTGTTCGGCCAAAACGCTTCAAAACAACTTGTGAGGAATAGAAGATGGCACTGATCCAACAACATTCATAAGACGGTTCCCATGTGAATGATTTACCTATACATTAGCACATTATAATACCTTATTTTACAAAGAAGAAGTAGCCTTTTTACTGTGGTGATATGCTTTGTTCGTACACTGCAGTACAAACCATCGTCACATCACAAAGGGCCCTATGAATTCGACAGAGTGAGATTAAGACAAGATTTGACGGGACCGCACCTGGTTAGTAAACTATTGACAAACCTGTGATAGAGGCCCAGGAAACCCACTAGTACATTACTGAGCATCATTATACGTATAAACGACACTTTCAAGGAGTTCCTTGTTCAGTGTGTGTATTAAGTGATGTGACTTGTATAGGGAATAATTATAAGGGAATTCTTTCACTGTGCTATTGTTCTGTTCTATCTTTAGTAACATTTCTAAAGTTAGCCCGATTTATACTGCCACATTGTTTTTAACGCGTGCCTATTATAATAATGCTGCAGGGAGCTGTTTGGGTAATGGAGTTCTCTATATGTGGGCGACTGCTGGTAAGACACTGATATTGATATTGTGACATGTACATATGTAAGCTGTGTACATGTATTATGTATGTAGAGTACGTGTATATGTATGTAACGCAATAGCTGTGAGACATGGGAGCATGCTCAGAGAGTTTGGTTGGCATCTGCTCTTCTTTTTTCTTCTCACACTGCAGGCGGTCGCCGGGCAAGACAGCATAGTGGTAAGACAGGGTGTTAATATATTGTACACACGTGACCTGTATATTATGCCCTTTGTCTAACATATATACTCCTGTGCATCTGGTACATAAACATTTCAGCATAATTATATAAGTTGTGAAAGCGTTTATCTGCTGAACATGACTATACAGGAAGCTCCGCCTACCCCTAATATCAGTCGCTTTAAAATTCTAAATTCTAATTATCGTCCTCTTCTTCTAGAGGGTGTGGGTGCTAAGAACAGCCGCACAGTTCTTCCACGAACTACAAGCCAAATACCAGCGTTTCGGTGAGCGGGATTTGAATTTGAAATCCGACAGACACGGATCCACACCAATTTTTATGCGCATGATGTGCAGGAGTTCACTCTAGTGGAGAAAGTTTGGCTGAGAAGGCAAGTATGGCCAGTACCACTAGTTCAGAGGTAAGGGAGATCACATGACACTCACGTGACTGTCACATGCAAGGAATGTGGTGTAGGAAGATGATGCAAATTCGACGAAGGGTCCGTTTTTAGAGCAACCAATATGTATGTACCATGGACACTCTGCTGACGTACTGGACTTGTCATGGTCTAAGGTAGGAGTGTGTGTGTGATGTGCAGTAGGCTGTATTGTTGTACTGTTGTGTTAGTATTTTGTGTGAGGTACTGTCACTTGGTTTGTTTCACAGAATTTCTTTCTGCTTTCGTCTTCGATGGACAAGACAGTTAGGTAGGAAAGTACAACAGTACCGTGTTTTGTCCAGCATAGGGAACTAATTTTCTATTCTCTCTCTCTCTCTCTTCCTCTCTCTCTCTCTCTCTCTCTCTCTCTCCACTGCCACAGATTATGGCACATATCAAGAAAAGAATGCTTGTGCTGCTTCCAACATGTTGACTTTGTCACTGCCATTGCGTTCCACCCTCGAGTGAGTAGGATGGTCACATGATGGTCACATGATTAGCACATCACTGGCCAGACTAGCCATTTACTTGATGTCATTATGATCCTATTGTGTGAGAATGCATACATAGTACACATGTAGAGTAGCATAATGGTACCTTACAATAGAGAGTGCTGAGCTGCGTACATCTACTTTACATTGTGATGTAACTACGTATTGTTCTAAAGTTGTGCGTTTTGTTTTCTTTTGCCCTGCTTCCCCCCTCTCCCCTCCCTTGTTGTCTCTTTTCCCTCTCCTCTCTCTTTCTCCTCTCTTTTATTCCCTTCACCCACTCTTCTCTCCTCCCTCTCTTGAATTGAACAAAGGATGATAGATATTTCCTAAGTGGTTCGTTGGATGGCAAACTGAGACTCTGGAACATTCCAGACAAGAGAGTTGCCCTCTGGAACGAGATAGAGGGAGTAGGTGGGTCACATGACGTCACATGACTATCATGTGACTCATTCTATTAATTCTGCAGGGTCTCATCTAATAACGGCGGCTAATTTCTGCATGAATGGGAAATTGGCTGTCGCTGGTACTTATGATGGTCGCTGTATATTCTATGAGACAGAGGTTAGCATAATAAGTATGCCGTTAAAATCAGTGGTCAATTGAAAAATCATTAGCTCGGAGTGAATTTTGTAAACTTCATATCTTTCTGCAGCATTTGAAGTACCACACTCAGATACATGTCAAGTCTAGGCATGGGAAGAACAGAGGTCGAAAGGTCAGCGGGATTGAGCCTCTTCCGGGAGAAGAAAAGGTATACGTGTAGGTCACATGACTGTCAGCTGACTGTCACATGACCACAGATCCTGGTGACGACGAATGACTCGCGACTGAGGCTGTACAATCTCAAGGACCACTCCCTCTCCTGCAAGTACAAAGGGGGTCTCAACACAAGCAGCCAAATCAGAGCAACGTTCAGGTCCAGTAAAAATACACATCCTCAAAATTTGCATCCTAAATTTTTCATCTCAATTTTTTCCTGCAGTCGTGATGGTCTGAGTATAGTATGCGGTTCAGAGGACCACTTTATATACGTGTGGAAGACGCATCACGACGTGAACAAGTTATCATCAGTTCGCAGAGATAGAAACGAATTTTACGAAAGTTTCACAAGTAAGACTTGTGTTTCACAACGAACACTTATTAAAACCCTTTCTGGTGATTGCTTTTTAACCCTCAGCTCACCACGCTCCGGTAACGGCAGCAGTCTTTGCCCCCGTCCCGGGGATAACTGTGGATCAAGGACTGAAAGAAGTAGGACAAATGATAATTGCAGCAGACTATCAGGGCGGAATCAAAGTCTATGTCAATTCTGAAAATTTGTGATAATAAATTTGTGCCTGTGTAATAAAATTTGTGGAATTGTGTGTGTGTCTGTGATGAAAAATATTTGGGTAAATGTCGGTGTTAGCGATCTCTAATAATCGCCCAGTCCACGTGACAGGAACGTGACGTCGACTCATTTCGTCACATGATCCCAGCTCCCCTCGAGAAAGAAGGGCTGTTTTGCTGACCTGAAACGCTCGTTTGCGCCCGTGTAGACCGTCCTTATCACCCCTCTACGCCTGCAAGGCACCCGAGAGTTTTTCGCAGGAGTGCCTGATCCAGATGGCGGCGTTTCGGTTGACCGTGCTAGCGGCTCTTGCCTGCTTTTCCCTGCTGTCAGTGTCACGTAAGTTTGATCGTCTTCTGGCGCGGTTTGCGACCGGGTCAGCTTACAGAGATGTGAAATAGCGTGGGGTAGTTGGATTGCCCATGGCGATCGTACAGATCTCCCCCAACTCAATAAGGGGCGGGCGTTGTAACCGCTACACCTGTAAACCAGGGCTCAAGTTTATTCTCTTCATTTATTGTGTCACGGGGATACCTTACGTTGTAGAAGTTCTGGCAACACCATAGGCAATCCAACTACCCAAGTGTTGTAGAGGCTCTGAAGTTGAAGCCTTGTATGTATGTATGTATATGTGTGTGTGTGCAGGTTTTGCAGCTGCTCAGGGGGACCCCAATCCCAATATCACCACCACCTCCCTTAGTGTTTCGCCAGTCCCGACTACACCAACTACTTCTGTCATGTCGACTACTGCCGCCATGTCGACTACTGCCGCCATGTCGACTACTGTCCCCCCCATAGTGACGACGACCATTGCTCCCACCCCTACCCCTACTGTTACCTCCTCTTCCCCCTCTCCCACCACCACCACCACCTCTACACCCACACCCACACCCACATCCACACCGACCCCGCCAGCTCATTCCTATTACATCTTAAACGCGACCACTCATCGTGTCTGCGTTCTGGTGATTGCCAATGTGCAGCTGACGTTAAGCTACACCAATACGTCGTCGAACAAGGTATAATACTTGTTAAAATGGGTAACAGTAAATGCAGTGCCTTTTCATCGTGTGATACATTATTCGAGTTAGTTTTGACTTTCGGAGGCGGGAGGGGGGCATATTATATATTGAGAGGGCAAATGTCCCCGATAGCACACCATAGGTAAAGGTGTACGGAGAGAGTATATACCGTGTGGTTTAGGGTGTGGACGTGGATGAATGTACTCAAAGTATTGCTTATTCCATTTTTAGCACACCATTGTGTTTTATTGTGATGGGAGCAGTTCCAGGTTTGTATCATTGCGGCCACTCCTATGTGTGTTCTTTGCAGAGTGTTTCCAAAGATTTGGCCGTCACTGGTAACTTGAATGCCACCGTGGACCACACAAACAGCCACTGTAATGAAAACTCCAGCACACTCCTTGTTCTTACGTTCCAAGCTGATCCCGATTACAACCATAGCCTCACCTTTCAATTTAACGAGGTCAGTTTCATTTCGCTGTCCATGAAATGTTGTTATATCCTTTTATCTGAACAACTCAGGCGAAGGACGGTTATGAGCTTACGTCAGTTTTAACCTACTTGAACTTCAGCGATTCAACTTTGTTTCCGGGATACAACACTTCTTTCACAGGTACAATACAATACCCAGAGTTTCTAATTGTCATGATCTACCTGTTGTGCTGTTTTTCCTGTTATAGATAGCGTAACTGGAAATACAAGCAGTATATTTAGCGTCGGCCAAGGGAAATCGTACAAGTGCGATTCCTCCAAGACCTACAGCATGGAACAAGTTCCGCAGGATGCAGTTAAGAATTTGAATGTGAAGATCTCCGGTTTGCAGGCACAGGCTTTCGATTTCAACAACAAGAAGGACCGGTTTGACAAAAGTAAGCCAAGCTCTCTCTCTCTCTCTCTCTCTGGTTTTGCACACATTTGTGATGATATCGTTTCGTGCAGGTATTTCCTGTACTAAGGACCAGAAGACGTCAAAGATCGTTCCCATAGCTGTCGGGGCAGCTCTTGCTGGTCTTGTGGTGGTCGTCCTTATTGCCTACCTCATTGGGCGGTTCCGTAGCCGCAAGCAGAACTCGTACGAAGCTCTATCTTAGTGTTGTTTTTCGGAAAACGTGCATAATATTATCTTCACACATGATGTAAATTATGCCTTACGCTCTCATTGGTATGGTGTATGTATTGGCCTAGTGTTAAAAATACTGATTTACAATTTTTGGTTTTTGTGTGTACGTGTGTGTGTGTGTGTAAGACAAGCAATATTTCTTGCATCTTCGGAATACCGGCGGTGAGCGTCAATTAGAACGAGTGCGCTTCAATTGGGGTGTGCTCGTGCAGTCACATGATATAGCGGTCGCAGGTCTGGTAGGAGTGCGTGTGTTGATCGTGCGCAAGGAGACAGTGGTGAGCTAGGCGGCGTACGCAGAGTGGAGGAATACGACGGATATGAGGAGACCTGAAGACTCCGTACTCCTGATTATAGTCGTTGGACTGATCATCGGTAAGAAAAACACCCTGTTGCGCTAGATTTCCCTCACCCGTTGTTTTATCGTAAAGCCGTTGCGTTTGCCGAAGAGCCAAAGGTCAACGAACCCAGTATCACTACCACATGGATATCTGAATCGACCATTGCAAGTGTCCATCCCACGTCAAGTATTACTCCGACGTCAAGCAGCTCAACTACTTCGACAGAGACACGAACATCGACGCACATAGTCCCGACCGTAACGACTAGTTCTACACCCAGCCCTACACCCACTCATAATGGCGTGTTCTATAATGTACCGGACAATGAAGACCGGAATCGGAGTTGCATCCTTTTCTCTGCCGAAATGATACAAGTGACGCTCAACTATGTCACCATAAATGGCACGGTGAGCTAAAGGGCCGAAAAACTAAATTCTAATGTGTGTAGAAAACACTGCCATTGATGTTGCATCTCCCAAAAGCTCCATAGTTTCGTGCGTTCTTGTGTGAGCATTTACTCAGACACGGTGCATAATACAAAAGAAGGGAGTTTTGTCGCGATGTGAAAACAACATGTATTAGTCTATAATATTGTGGTGTTTATTATTCAGATCCAACCGAAGGTTTTCAATTTGTATAACTCAAGTATGGAACTGAACCTTAACGAGAGTCACTGCACCAAAGATGATCGTGGCTGGGCATATCTGACAATCGACTGGCGGACGACGCCCACATCGTCAGCCACCCAAAGCCTCACGTTTTACTTTGCCAGAGTAAGCGAAAGAAAGTTAGAGAAAGAGAGAGATCGAGTGTGTGTGTGTGTGTGCAGCATGTGGTAGAGATTACTTCTTTGTGAAAATAAGATTTGGCTCTCACTGCACACAATCTGTACTGCAGCAAGAGTACACCTGGAAGTTGGGCATCATCAAGCTGGTCCTCAATACCACCGACAACGATTTTCCAAACATCAAAAGTCTCGGTAAGTATGTGCACTCACACTTTCTCTGCCTTCACTGCAACTCTCCACACACACACACACACTCACTTATGCCCACTCTCAGCTGAGTTTCACTTTCAGTACGAGAAGGTGGTCTTTGAAAACGAGTACGAGAGATCGTACAAGTGTGACAAATCCCAGCGGTTCGGGTTGGAAAACACGGATGCAAGTGTGACTGTCATCAATGTGACTACCGTTGCGCTGATGCCTGTCTGGAGAATACAGGCTTTTGAGTTTAGGAAGGAAAATGAGTTTGGGAATGGTAAGTTTTCACTCTTGTCAGCTTTCTCGCTACCTCTTATTTGCTCCCCTCACTCTCTCCTCTTTCTCTCTCTTTTGCAGCACGCATATGTCCTCAGAGTATTGCCAAGAACATAAAGCTCCCAGCTATTGTAGGAGGTGTCCTCTTTCTCTTTCTGTCCGCCGTGGTTGTTGTCTACATCATCAGCCGATTCCGAAGACGAAAACTCGCATCTTATGCAGCTCTAAAATAGAAAAAACCTTAGTTCGTTATTGCGTATTGCCTCTTTTGTGTGCTTGTTATGTCATTTCCCCGTGAGTCACGTGCGCGGGACTAACCTTTGACCCATGACGTATAAAAGCGACATTCCCAGAGTTGGGGGCATTATTTGGAGTTAAAGTAAAGCGAGCCGAAAATGGTCCAGTTAGGAAGGTTAGCGAAGGCGACGGTGCTATCAGTAGCCGCACTGCTAGTATGGCGCTATTACCTTACCTGGGACACGTCAGACGGAGGCGTCGACTTATTACAACGACTGGAGGACGAAAGGAAAGCTTGTCTCTGGAGAAAAGGGCTGGAGAGCAGTCGCGTTCTCGGAGACGGACACACGTTTTCGACGTTGAACTGTCCCGTGGGGCAGGAGGCGCACCCGAGCCACCTCTGCACGGCGCACCTCGTCTACCTCAACCACACGGAGAAGGCCTTCGTTGCTAGAACGCCAGCCGCTTCTACTACCAGGTATAATAATTATACTACAAGCAGCGGCTATGTTCGTAGTAACCTGAGCAGAGCAGCGGTATTCAAGTGTGTGTTGTCTCATGGTCGGTGATGCTTGGTAGTTTTAGTCTGAGCCAATGCCGTTGTACCTCATGGGGGAGGGAGGGGGGGACTACATAAACTTGTTCTAGGGTCCCATGTTTGCCTAAATTATAAGAGTGTATATACAATGTACAAAAACTACCTCTCTTCTGTTTCAGAGCCAACTTGGAGCTTGCTCCGTTCCACTGGCCAGTGAAGGCTACCTCCCACTTTCTCCCTCCCTGCACCGAATACTTTGACGAGGCCTTTGTCTTTGCCCTCGACTTATCGACCTCCCCGGACGACCGCTACTACAGACTGCACACCACCACTTTTATCCCTCTCTACTCGCTCATGATGTGGCGAAGACATTTTGGCCCCGTTGCCCCACCTGGGTACAGGGTCTTACTCATGCCAGCTGCAGAAAAATTCGCAGTCAAGGCAAGCCCGGAAACAATTTTTATGGGTGGGTTAAAAATTGTGTAAATTTTTTTACAGGAGGTGGACTGGGAGAGTGAGGCTTTTTCAGGTCACTACAAGCAAAGACTGAGCTACCAGTTGCTGGAGGTATGCTTCTCTCTGCAGTAATATTTAGAGCTACATGCTGGGGCCACAAAGAACGAAGCGTTTTTTTCTGATGTTGTAGGCATTTGCAGGTGGGATGGACATGCTACCTTTGGTCCATAGCTCGCTGAAAAAAGGAAGTACGACTTGCACAAGGATAGCTCATTTTGGGGTTAGTTCACCTAGACATAATTATTAGCAATCTCCCTAACCCTCTTTTCCGGGGAAAGACATGTTGTCTGGTTTGGTAGAGTACCATGTACTCTAATGTGGGGTGATAAAAACACTGATTGTTGCCATAGAGCTATCACTGCGGGCTAAAGATTTACACAGCCCTGCACTCTATTACAGATGCACAATACACGAAGACTAGTCCTAGAATAGGAGACCTCACTATAAAAAGAGTGACACTCTCTGGTATCAAAATTACATAGATAGCAACATGGTAAGGGCCAGGGCTCTAAGACTGATTCAGTGACGTAACATCACTTTTTTTATTGATGGAGAATACGAGTTTTATGAATTTTCTTGCAAATTCTAGTTTGCCATTCTTGTGTGGCCCAGCTTCACGACTATATACGTTCGTCTCATAACTAGTCCTGACCCAATTTTTGCTTGATTTATTCTCCCTATAGGTGGGTGTGGTCAATATAACAGACCCCGCCCTCCTCCGTGGGTTCTCGGTGTTTATGCGAGCTCGACTGGGTCTCCCCTACCCCATCCCGGTCCCCACGGAGCCGGCCGTCTGCCTCGTCCGTCGCTCCGGCAACAGACGGATCCTCAACGAAGAGGAGGTGGTGGCTGCCCTGTCAAAGTTTGTTCATGTGGAGGTGGTCCAGTTTGATGCTCTCTCGTATCGCGAGCAGGTGAGTCAACACACACACACACACACACACACACACACACAGTGGATGCAGTTTCTAATACTCTAAAAGGTCTACCCACACCATATGAATTTTTCTCTTCCAGACCATTTCTCCCCACTCTCTTTTCCTCTTTTCACATAGGTGGCTCAAATGCAGCAGTTTACAATCCTTGTCGGTTTCCACGGCGCAGAGCTGCTGAATGCTCTCTACATGCCACCAGAGTCTGTCACCATCCAACTGGTACCGTACCGGGCTCGCAGTCTCCCGCTCGCCCCGTACGCAGAGCTCCTTCGAGCCACCGGGCCTTACCTGGAATGGCAGAACGGGAATGAGCGACTGAGTCGACCAAACGACGTCGGAGATCGTGATAACAACTTGGCCGATACACTGCTGGACGTTGATCAAATCGGTGATTTAGTCGAATCAGCGCTAAAACTGGGAGTCAACGCTAGGCTTGTGAGCTTCAGCCGTAGAGACGGAGCATAGTGAGATCATTATTACGTCACCACTTTAGGGTTGCTATTTTTTATTTATTTTTAACCTTCACCCACTCGAATCACAGGAACATGATCACCTTACATTATATATCACCGATCAACGATTACAACACTGTTTACAACAACAATTTATTGCAGTAAAATGCACGGTTAGTGCTGGCATGAATATTGGTGGCAGAAATGGTCAGTATTGGTCTCAGAATGGTTACGACTGGTATCTACTGGGGTGGTAGCACTGTGGTCTCCAATGGTACTGGAGTGGTCCCCATTGGTACTGTGGTGGTCGCCATTGGTAGAAGAGTGGTCCTCACGAGGGGGTAGGGGTGGTGAGCCAGGTTCGACGTGGTCGACTGGTTCAGGCGAGACTGCTCTTTGCTTCTTATTGTGGAAGAATTCACTCTGAAAGAGTGAGAAATATTAAAGAAAGAGTTGCACTCCAAAAGGAGAAGAGAAAATCGAACAGTTGTGAATCTGCTAAAATTACCAAAATTTAGTTCAAGCTCACAATTCTCCCATCGCGGCCAAAGACTCCCACGAATCCACTGATCAAGTCTCTGGATTTTCCCTTCAGCGAACTCACCCCTTCTCTTATCTGCACCTCCTTCTCCTGTGACAGTCACATGACAATCACATGACCCACAGTGGTATTTACTCACTGACCTTCATGAACCCTAGGTTCATGTCTTTTGCCGTGTATCCCCGGGAGAGATTCTGACGGACAAACGTGTCGTAGTGGCGAACTATTCGGGAGATGATGCCAGAAGTGGACACGCCCTCTGTCCGCTGTGTCGCCACAAACATCCCCTTTTCCTTCAGGGGCTTGTAGATGTCCTCGCAACCGTTGGCCGAGTACGGGAGATCGTCATGGGCCACAAAATCAATCTGGGGGAAAACCACAAGGGGTGATATCATCTATAAACCTATGTATACTACATCTGCCACACTGACAGTGCACGTACAGTTACGTACAAGTAAATGGAACACTGTGTTCTTAGTTCCAGGGCCAAGCGTTGAAGTATTCTCTGTGTAATGTAGGTTGGGGTCATCTTACAGCAGAGTGATCAATTTTACTTGGCCACTGGAATTAAAGCTTTCTCACACTAAATCATCGGTCTCATTTGCTCGTGCGAAAGTCCCAGTCTCATTTCAGACCTGGTGTTCCTCCATGAATTCCGGCGTAATTTCCCAGGGGCACCCCTCCACGACCTCGTCGACATAGCGACAGTGTTTGACAGCGTCGTATCTCTCGCGTTCTGCCATAACTGTCTTCCCCTTTAGTCTCTGTGTGTCCACATCATTTGTAACTGCATCCAAACAACAATCAATACCCTTTATTGCAAGTGTGTGTGTAGTCACTGGTAGCAAAGGGTGCCCCATACCTCCGACAATGAGATAGGCATTGGGAAAGGCGTTCTTTGCCTGCATGAGGACACGAGCGTGCCCGTTGTGAAACAGGTCAAACACACCGTCTGCATACACCCTCACCGGCTCTGCGAAATCCAAAATGTTATGGGTGGATAAAAACATGGAGGTTTCGCACAGGCAAAGCATGCAGTAAGTTCTCGGTGAGCCCGGGCTCTAATTTACCTCTCGTCCCTTGCTTGGCTTCTTCGTAGGTTATGCATCTCCGCTTCCCCTTGGAGCTCGTTGTAGGGGGTGTGGCCTCACTGCTACAAGGGGCGGGGTTTCGAAGTGCAATTTCCTGTCGACGGAAACTTCCAGTACCGATTGCGTCCCCATTAGTCCAATGACTCTCCTTCCTTATCTGGAAGAATGCATTATCTCAATCATGACGCTATGAATGGCAACAGTGATGATGAATAACCCCCTTAATTGCTTTATATAATCAGCTGATTCTTGAATAGTGCACACCTAGCAATACTGGTTAGTTTGGTACATCTAGAGAAGCTACCTCAGAGAATTACTGCATTAGACGCCCTTTCACCCAGTCAACTTCACATAGTTTAGCTAGCTAGCTCACTTTTACAGAGAAGTTTACATTATACATAGCGAACTTCATGTAGCCTACCTTTACTGGTGGAAGCAGCTGTTCTTCTCTGCTAACTTCTGACTCTCCCTCCTTCTCCTCCTGGCTCTCGCCCCGCATTTCTCTCAGCCTCTTTCTCGTTGTCATTCTCTACTCAGTCCGCGACTCAGTCTCTCGGTGAGTGTCGTATTTTTCTCGGCTCGCAAAAATTTCACACCTATGACGACCTTTGAGCTCCACTATAAATTACTACGGCCCGCCCTCTCTCCGTATATAAATGGGCTTCTTGAAAAGCTACCTGAGTCTACCGCGCTACCAGAGAGTTTTGATCGGTTTTGTGGGAGTAGGTATCGGCTGGTACGGGCCCTATTTGATGGACAGTCTGTTTCTGAGCAACGGCGCTTCTTCAGCTCACGTGACCGACTCACCGGCGGCGGATCCTAAGCCACCAGAAAGAAACTGAAGCCCAGAAATCCAAATATCCAAAATATCTCACCATTGTATTGTAAGGCTGCAAATTTAGACATAGAGTAAACATATAATGAGAGAGAAAGCTCAACCGCCTCGCCCCGCCCACCGAGCCCTGTCTTGGACGGGAGTGATGTTGGGGATCGCCCTCGTCACCTCTCTCGCCTGGTACTTTTTCTGGGTCGTCATGGCAGCCATCGAGCTCGACATCAAACACATAGTCAACTGGTACTTTTTCGCTCGGTTCAACCTCACCACAGTCCCCCGTACCTACGAAGGACTTCAGAGGGTGGGCTACTGGATGCCCCTACTCGTTTTCGTAATCTTCCTTCTCTCCTGTGTCGTGTGCCCCTGTCGTACTCATCTGGGGAAAGTCCCTCCTGTAAGCATTACATCACATGCATAAATGCACCATCTTAATCCTCGAATGCATTACATCACTATCACAATTACTTGTAGCATTTTTCACCGTTGAATTTTCTTTTTCTGAAGGTAATTTACACAGCAGTGGTATTGCACAACATCCTTATGTTCATCTACATGCTCGTGGCCGGAGGAAAAATGATAAACTTTTTCAACCTGGTCCTCCCGATCCAAATTGTCTTTCAAGTCCACAACGTGTGGTGGGTTGCGTTACTGGCCCCCACGATCCTCGTCCTCATCTCGTACGGAGTAACGATGGGGTTTCGCTCCCCGCCCCCTCGTTCCCTTTCAGATCCGGCTCTGTCGCTCGGAGCCCAACCCTGGCCCTGCCGCTGCACCCTGAAACCCTCGGTGCTCTGTCTATTTCTAATTGTAGCCCTCCACCTCTCCATCCCGTACCTCATCCAGTGGTCTGAGAGGGTTGGCTGTGCTCCGTGCCAGGGGAAGCTACCCAAGAAGCCGGGACTAATAGCCCACAGAGGGTGTGGTTTCGTGTACCCCGAGAACACAATTCTCTCTTTCGTCCATTCTAGTCAGATTCCTGGCATGGTCGGTCTCGAAACTGACGTTCAGGTAAAATTACATCTTTCTCAAAAATTATTTACTATCGATCTTAAAAATGTGTACTATAGATCTTTAAAGTTTGAAAGTACGTATTCTTCAAAGCAAACCCCAGAATGGAGTAAACAGACAAAACAGCACGTTTCTATAAAAATGTCAATTTTCATCTCCGCTATTTTTACGTCATTTGTAGGTGAGTTACGATGGAGTTCCGTTTCTACTGCACGACCCCCACACCATACGCACCACTGACGTGAAGACCAAGTGTCCCGAGGTGGATCCTCTGGCCAACGCAACTTGGCTCAACTACACCTCAGGCAAATGCCCCCTGGAGGAGCTCAATGTGGGGGCGTGGTTTATTAACGAGGTGAATATTCACCAACGACGTTTCAACATATTGTCTCAAACTTCTGTAATTCGTTTCCTATGAATGTAATGTACAGTTGAACCCCTCTCTATAAAGGACACACTGGGACCTTGAAAATTGTCGTTTATCCAATTATGTGGAGGCGGAGTAAATTGAGAGGTGTCCCCTTCTTTTCTAGAATGTCCATTAGAGGTTCCACTGTAGCAATATGTGAGTATAGTCTCTACTTTCTGTAGCAGAGTGAAGGTGACTCAAAACTACCCCAAGAATTTGCCAAGGAGCTGATGCCCACCCTGAATGACTATCTCCAAGTGGCCAAAGAGCACGGGATGACCATCATTTTCGACCTTCGCGAACCCAACACGGCTCACCCTTACCACGACAGCTACGTAAACACTACACTAAAGACTGTGCTGTCTTCTGGGATCAGCCTCTCTAAGGTAAAAGGGTTCTGGCATGAGACTGGATGTGGTCATGTTCCAAAACATGATGTTTTAGAGAATAATATATATACTGCTGGGACAAGTGTAATTAAATCAATTGATGCTTATGATCATTTGCAAGTGTTGGCTAAAGAAAGTATCATCGTGCCTACTGTCTAGAAAGAAAACCAGAATGTTATTTAAATGACCGCATTCAAATGTCTCATTGAAGTCGCTAGAGTAGTGGTGGAACTTTAACGATATTCATGGCTGCTGCCCCGCCCCCTTCTCCCAGGTGTGGTGGCTAACTCCGCAGCGAAGGGACTGGGTAGTGACCAAGCACCCCGACCTCGTTCAAGTCACAAAGACTGAAGACACACCATTTGAGCAGTTTCAGGAACAGAAGATTAAGGTTGTCAATGACGACTGGGGAACTCCGCTGGAGAAACTGAGGTAACAGCACGAAATTTTTTAAATAGGAGAAACTTTTGTTAGGGAGCTGTCTGGGAGAGTTTTTTGCATGGTTTTTTGTTCGTTGGTTTGTGAAGTGGGACAAGGAATGTTTCCTCCGAATATGTGTATATATTATAATATGCCTGTTGAAAAGTGTGCGGTTATCAAATTTCTCTGACCAGTTCTCACTTTCTTCTATTCCTCTTTCCCCCTTTATCCCTTCCCTCACCCTGTGTGTACCCTGTCTCCCTCTCCCCTCGTCCTCTCCTTGCTCAGGAAGTACCAAGCTGCAAATCTGTCCATCAATCTGTTCTTTGTGGACAGCAGGTTTGCCTTCAGCTACGCCTGGTGCGTGGGGGCTCAGTCGGTCACCACCAACAACTGCGAGGAGTTGGCTAGCATGGCAGAGAACAAGTTTTACCAGGTGACTGTACACTGAACTGTGCCATAGTAAAATAGGAGCTTTTTCTTTACTTAGTGTGTGAGCTTTTCCATATCACACCCTCTTGTACTAGCCACGCCCTCTTGTACTTGCCACGCCCTCTTGAACTGAGCACTCTTACGAATTTCGTGCACTTTACCACGCATTGACACCTGTAATGCAATGTGGGGGGTAAGGGGGCGGGGTTACTCTACTTTAGTGCCCTTTTCCATAAGTGGAGCAATTGCTTGAAAGTGGATTCTCTATACGACAAGTGAACATTCGGTATTATGTATGGTTGTTCTTTTCCCTCATGTCCAGGTGTGCTACAGTTTGAGAGAAGCAGTGAACACTCGTCTGTGGCCGCTAACAATCACTTTCCTCATGTGCTCAGTCTCTTGCATGTAAGCGGAAAACTGTCGCATGTCTCGATTCAAGAACCCCGAACCACCATGGCAATCTGTCCTGGGTGGTGATGTGTATAATTATCTAGCCCTGGCACTGTGATTGTACATTGATGAAAGATTGACATTGTGTTTGCTTTTGTTTCCCGAGTTATAAAGTGCTTCTGCTCTCCGCAGGACTTGCTTCGAATGTATGCAAAAGATGAAGTGGAAAAAGCAGAATTTGACATAGTTTTCTGTCATCTGTGTTCACTTATCATAGACTATACGTTGTCTGTCCACAAATATAGAATTTTCAAATTTTAGTTGTATATATTACAATGTATTATATATACAGAGCAAAATGTAATGGAAAGACTTATCACTATATGGTGAAAAAAAAACAAAAATGTTGCAAAAGTGAATTACGGTAATGAAAGTGAATAGGGTGGAGTCAAAAGTTTTTTTCAAAAGTGTTCTTTGTTGCTGTCAACGGTGATGACTGGTTGCGATGCTGAATTCTGGAAGTTGAAGGAAGTGTTCGCGATCGAGGCTACGGTTGGATTGTTGGATTGCACTCCAGCATAAATGGAGTAGGAGAGGGGGTAGGGGAGGGGAGGAGGGAGGAGGGCGTAAGGGGGAGGCTGATAGAGCCGCTGGTAGGGCGTCAGAAACGGGGGGAGAAGTGAGGATGAGGAGAGAGGATGGGAATTCAGTGAGGTCGTAGGTGGAGTTTCCTGGGTGGGTGTGGTCTTTGAACATGGCGAGGACGACGGTTGGAGGGGAGGGAGGTAGCGAGACGAGTCGGAACTCGGGAGGGCACCTCGATAGAGAGCTGAGTTGCTGCTGGGTTCAGGGAGGACCTGGCCCCACTTGCGGGCCTTGGCTCTTCGGTTCTGGAACCACACCTGAAACAACAAATCAGTCGAGTAATAATCCAATGAAACAGCAAATAATATGTGAATGCATTACGAACGAATCTAGTTTACTCTGTTTTGGTTTCACATTATGCCTACATAGTTAACAGTAAAGTTGTGCGTTGTGTGTGTGTGTGTGTGTGTGTGTAAGACGCAAACCTGGATCTTGGGGATGGGGATGCGTGCCTCGCTGCTGATTATTTTCAGAAGTTGACTGTCGGGGTAGGCGGACTTTCTGAAGTGTCGCTCCATTGCTTGCAGCTGCTCTCTGGTGTACGCAGTGCGTACTCGCTTCTTCTTTGGCTGCTCTTCTTCCTCCTCCTCTTCTACTTTACGGTAGAGAGAGAAAGTAAATGATGGATTGTGACATAGGGAAAAGAAAAACTTACCAGGTTCTTCTCGTTGGTCAGATGAGGCAGAACTAGGCTCTGCTGGAGGGTCGTTAGTGGAAGTGGTTCCCGTGGGTTTGTCCCCCTGGGGGCTCTGGGACTCTCCGCCTAAGGCTGCGCGCGCAGTGCAACTTCTTCGGCGGGAAGGATTCGAACGGAACACGTCGTCTTCAGCTTCTCCTTCCACGGTGCTGGGCGGCTGGTACACATCCTCGACTTCGCTGGAGACCCTACCTCGCTTGGCCCCCCTCTTCCTCTTCCTGCCTCTCTTGCTCGGAGGTCGTTTCTCGGTAGTCGACGTTTCTTTCTCTCCTTCGCAAGAGGTAAGGTCGTCCGTGGACTGCGTGTAGAGAAACGGGGGTTCCTGGTCGGCATTCGGGCTGTACGAGACGGCTGGGGCCGGAGGAAGCATCTGTCTTATCGTTCCGTGTCTATACTTCACAGTCACGCCGCTAGAAGACGAGCTTTCGCTACTCGAGTCTCCATCGCTCGCTGTACGACTGACCGGAGCGTTGCTACCTCGCTCCTCGGAGGAGCCCTGTCCCAGAATGTCCACCATAGAGAACGTTGTAAACTGTCGAGCCATCTTCAGGAGGTATCGCTTGTCGGACGGTGTGTCTTAGAGCTTCTCAGGTTTCTAGGACCAACTGTAACGTAGCGCGCCCTCTGCCCGTTTTTGACCCAGAGCCTGTTCTTTGTTCAGGGCGGTGCGACTAGAGGTAAAGACGCCGCTCTTCGCACTCCAGGCCGTGTTAGAACTCTAGTGCGGTCGGCGGGAGCCCGAGTTGCAACGCCAGGTGCTAGCGCTAATGAAGCCATTACCTTTTGATCAGCCCCTTTGAGCTCCGTCTCTGAATCAACCCGCGAGAATGAGCAACTTTATTGAACGGAATTATCAGCTTTCCTTTGTACTTGTGTTCCCCAACGAAGCAAGCTATAGCTACTGCTTATTACGCTGCTAGCTCGACAACAACTCTTACTACAATATACCTAGATAGCTTATTATCGTCCATTATACCCTAAAATTCAACGATATTGTTTTCAAGTGTAAACCTAATCTTGTAAACATTCTGTACAGAATCACATACAACAATAAATATCACAATACAAGTAAAAAGCTTAGTTACCTAGTCTTTTCAGTTTTCCTTTTTTTCCCACTTATCACTTGTCGAATTACGTGTAATTTTTTTACATTTTTTGACTAATTAACAGTGATAACGAGGATAATTATTGGTGAAGTTGGGGGCTTTATTTGGAGCTAGATGAGGTCAGCGACGTTCATGGGCATCTCGTCCACCTGGGTATTGTAAAATTGCTCTATGTCTTTCAGGGCACGCTCGTCGTCCCTAGTGATGAAGTTGATGGCCACTCCCTTTCGGCCAAAACGTCCACCACGACCGATCCTTTAATGTAGGAAGGAAAAATTTCTCCCTCTCTCACATTTAACCCTTTCTCCCTTCTCCTCCATATATGCAATCCCTTATCAAAAACCCCGCTCACCGATGAATGTAATTTTCCCTATTAGCTGGAAGGTCGTAGTTGATGACAAGTGACACTTGCTGCACGTCAATACCTCGAGCCTAGACACGTGCATGAGCAATGAGAGGTCATGTGACTGTCATGTGACTCACGAGAAGGTCCGTACTGATGAGAACACGGGAGGACCCGGAGCGGAACTCTCTCATGATAATCTCCCTGTCTTTCTGGTCCATGTCTCCATGCTTCAGGGAGAGAATAATAAAGAGAGTGTCAAAATTAAACCTCCAAGTAAGTGACATCTCTAAATATAGGACAATTTTGATGTCTTTAAGGTGTCCCTTATTCAGAGGTTTTACGGAGTAGGTGACACCTCTGAATAAGAGACACTTTCAATGTCCCCAAGGTGTCCTTTATTCAGAGGTTCCACCGTAAATGGCGCACCATTGAAGAGACGGTGAAATCTCGGGAATGCATCTTCTCTGTCAGCCAGTCCACCTTGCGTCGCGTGTTGACAAAGATGACGGCCTGCGTGATTGTCAGAGTCTCGTACAGGTCACATAGAGTGTCCAACTTCCACTCCTGCGAATGGGCATCATAGGGAATGTAGCAGTACGTAATGGCTGAACCAACCACTCACCTCCTTCTCCACTTGAATGTAGAACTGTTTGATTCCCTCCAGAGTCAGCTCCTCTTTCTTGACAAGGATTCGAATCGGGTCCCTCATGAACCTTTTCGTCCCTCGCTCTGAAGTCAGACTATGTAGATGCCTATTTCTACCGTGGGATGCTCACACTCCGCCACAGACAGATTGGCAAAACGCTTTATCGCTATAGCCAAATTTTAGAGGATTTCAGGCAGGTGGCTGAAATCCAACCCAGAAACCGTGAAGCGAACTATCAGCTCGGAGTCATTTATCTTGAAATAGATCGGCAGCGCCTTGCCAAAGATGTTTTTGAAAATATGCTCTCTTACGCGCCAAAATATAGGGGCATCCACTTGCATCTGGGGCAGATTGCGGAATGGGAACAGGCGTGGAAGCAGGCAATTCAACATTATCAAGCGGAGGCTGCGCTTCTTCAACAACCCCTTGAAGAAGGGGACAACATTGCCATCAAGACATATCAACGCCTCGGCAATCTTTACTATGCCCACGCTTTAGATTACAACGCCGCGAAAGAGACTCTGGAAATGGCACTCGCTTTGGACGACACTCACGTGCCGACACTGCTCAACTACGCCAACAACCTCTTCAGTATGGATCTACTCGGCGCAGCGACGGAACAGTTTGAACGGGTGATACAACTGGAACCCGGCAACTTGACAGCAAACTACAACCTCGCGCTCATGTATGAATATAGGGAGAAGCGTGAACAGGCGAGAGCGCAATGGCAACGTTTCCTTGAACTCAATCCACCCGAACAGTGGCGGATTGAAGCGGAGGAACACCTGAGTCAGTAGTTTTCTTGGACTTTTTTTAAACACGGCTAACTGCCGATAGCAAGCCAACAACGGCGGTGTGCGAATCTTATACCCAGAATGTCAATGAACCAGCCTTGTGATTTCACACCTTGTGCAAAGATTAAAAACCTGCAGGCAACGCTTCAGACTGCACTTATCGGGTGCCAAATCGAGCACTATTCACAGGTCGCCTCTACTAACGACATCGCTATTGCGCGTGGCAAAGCAGGTGCAGCAGAGGGAACACTCATCATTGCGGAGCACCAGACCGCTGGGCGAGGCAGATATGGTAGGAACTGGGAAGCACCGTCGGGGAAATGTCTCCTTGTGTCTGTTGTTCTTAAACATCGGCTCCTTCGCGATCAGGTTACACTCCCTAATCTCGTCGGTGCCATTGCAATAGCTGAAGCGATTCGCACGACGCACGGACTTGAGGCGCGGATTAAAATGCCTAACGATGTCCGGATCGCAAAGAAGAAGGTCGCCGGAGTCCTAACAGAACTCGCCTATGACCAAGAATATCAACCTTTTTTCGTCTTGGGTTTCGGGGTGAATGTCAATAACGTCTTGGAGGATTTTCCGCCTGAATTGCGTGGAATCGCAACCTCCGTGCGTATGGCGTGTGCGCTCTCGGAAGGTCAAAACACTGAGGTCTGTCGTATCTCGCTATTATGTGATATACTCTGTCATCTTGAGGATACCTACCTGCAACTGAAAGCAGGTGAAACAGATTTAATTACGAACCAATTTGAGGTCTTGCGGGAAAATGAAGGTAGTCATTAGTGCTTGTCTCCTCGGAGTTCGCTGCCGATACGACGGCGGCGATAGCCGAAACCAAACAGCGATAAAGCAAGAGAAAAGACGTCAACTTATTCCTGTCTGTCCAGAGGAATCGGGCGGTTTACCAACGCCGCGTCCCCCCGCAGAAATCGTTGGCGGCGATGGCAATGATGTTCTGGATGGCACAGCAAAGGTTATGACTGACGACGGTACAGATGTAACGGAAGCATTTTTGAAGGGTGCCCATCACGCTTTGGAGGTTGCTCAATCAAACGGCGCGACACACGTAATTCTGAAAGCAAGAAGTCCGTCTTGTGGCTGTGGCGACATCTATGATGGCACGTTTTCAGGGACCCTCACGTCTGGTGACGGCGTAACCACTGCCCTTCTGAAACGACACGGTATTACCGTTACCACCCTGTAACGCCCACAGATAACATTTAGCGAAAACATCCACTGCCCAGATTAATAGTTTAAGAGATATCGAACCTGTTCACCAATGTCAGGGCTCCGCATCAACGACTCACCGACAAGCATCGCCTGCACACCTGCTTCCTGTAACCGCATCACGTCTTCATGCGAGTAGATACCGCTTTCACTCACCACAATCTTATCTGCTGGAATAGCTTCACGCAACCGAAACGTTGTGGCAATGTCCGTGTGAAATGTGCGCAGATCTCGGTTATTAATGCCGATAATTTGTGCATCAACATCTAACGCGATGGCTAATTCTTCTTGTGTGTGTACCTCCACCAAACACGCCAGTGACAACGACTCTGCAACATCCATGAATGTCCGTAGTTGTGCCGCTGTCAATGCCGCCACAATCAGTAAGATAGCATCTGCCCCCGCGACGCGAGCTTGGTAGATATGATACGGATCAATTGTGAAATCTTTTCGGAGGAGCGGTACATCAACGACTTCTCGGATTGCGCGCAGGTAGGCGAGTTCGCCTGCGAAAAAATGTTTGTCTGTCAGCACAGAGATCGCAGCAGCACCATTTTCGACGTAGGTTTCGGCAATTGACACCGGCTCGAAATCCTCGCGGATAATGCCTTTACTGGGTGATTTTTTCTTCACCTCCGCGATAAGCTTAACGGTCCCGCTGCCTGCGATGGCGGACCGACTTTTGACAGCAAGTTTTGGCTTGCAAGCTGCGCCAAAATCCCGTGTCGGCGGGAGGTTCATAACCTCCGTTTCCAACTGCGTAAACGGCACCTGTGCTTGTTCGGCTACCAACTCTTTCCGTTTATGTGCGATGATCGTGTCTAATATCAATCCGTTTATCCCTCTCTCTGTAAAAGGTTACAGGTTAACTATTCGACATTGACTTGAGAGCCCTTAGTTTCGCCAACGCTCGCCTGAGTCAATAGATTCTGAAGCAAGTTCGATACCCGCATCGAGGCTATCCACTTTCCCGCTCGCAACAATCGCTGCACCAGCATTTAGCACAACAATGTCGCGTTTGGGTCCCTTCTCACCCTTCAGCATATTGACTATAATTTCAGCATTCTCCTCCGGCGCGCCACCCAGAAGTGCTTCAGGTTCTGCTCTCGGAATTCCGAGTGTTGTGGGATCAAGCGTATAGGTTTTAACGGTACCGTTTCGGAGTTCTGAGACGCGTGTGGTTGTTGTGGTTGT